ACAGTGCTGTGATTGTGTGGTTGTCTGTGTGTTTTTGTTACCCCAACATCACCTGCTTGTGTCTGCCTGTCTGTCTGTCTGTATACAACTACCCATCTGTCTGTTTGTCTGTCTATCTCGATAGATTAGGTACGTAGGCATGGATAGCTAGATGAAGATAGATGAAGAGTCTGACTTAAGTCTGAAGCTTCATGACTAAAAAATGCTCCCACGGGTATCTTTTATATTTTCCAAAGCTCACAGCCCAGTGCAGAGAGACTGTATGTGCAGTACTTGATCAAGTACAGGACATACAGTCTCTCTGCACTGGGCTGAGAGCTTTGGGAAAAATTAAGCTCGGAAACCGGGGGATAAAAAGGCTTTTGTTTGTGTAGCTACGCCAGCCATGTAGGTTTGCTGGTTTTCCAAGATCCCCCATGCAAATAATCTAGACAGAGAACCCGCTGCCCTTTATATGCTGTTCGGTAACTTTGAGGAGAAGTGCCAGCACTCCACGTCCTCCCTGGTGTGGCAGGCCTTAGGGGGCAAAGGGAGGGGGGGACATGAAAAGTGAGTTGTGAAATGTGATTCCCCGACCCTCCCTAACCCCCATACCCCGCCAACCCCCGTGCCACGACCCTCCCAACCCTCCCAACCCCGATTCCCCGACCCTCCCTAACCCCCATAGCCCACCAACCCCCGTGCCACGACCCTCCCGACCCTCCCAACCCCGTTCCCCGACCCTCCCTATCCCCCATACCCCGCCAACCCCCGTGCCACGACCCTCCCGACCCTCCCAACCCCGTTCCCCGACCCTCCCTAACCCCCATACCCCGCCAACCCCAGTGCCCTGACCCTCCCAACCCTCCCAACCCCGTTCCCCGACCCTCCCTAACCCCCATACCCCGCCAACCCCCGTGCCACGACCCTCCCAACCATCCCAACCCAATTCCCCGACCCTCCCAAACCCCCATACCCCGCCAACTCCCGTGCCCCGACCCTCCCAACCATCCCAACCCAATTCCCCGACCCTCCCTAACCCCCATACCCCGCCAACTCCCGTGCCACGACCCTCCCAACCCTCCCAGCCCCAATTCCCCGACCCTCCCTATCCATCCACACCTTGTAGCGATGTATGACGTACGTTCCTCGACTTGAAAAGCTCCAAGCCACTCTCTGGAGGGTAGTGGGTGCAGTCGGAGGCCAAGGACAACGTTAGGCTAAGCTTCAAATATGCATGTTCTAATGCACCGTTTTTAGCACTCATCTGGGGCGTTGCTTCGCTGCAATAGCCCATTCTTTCCCCCCGTGTGTACTCCCTAAAACCCTAATGCCCAGCGCAACGCCGCCCTCCTCTGCACCGGCCAATCCAGCGCCACCCTTCCCTCATCCGCCCCCCACAGCACCGGCCCCCCCCTGCATTGCCCAGCGCAACGCCGCCCTCCCCTGCGCTGCCCAGCGCAGCGCTGCCCTTCCCTCATCCGCCCCCCGCAGCGCCGGCCCCCCCCTGCG